GGGAGCCGGGGGCCGCGGAGGGGTGTCGCACCCTGACCTGGTGTGCGCCTGGGCCTGCGGGTACAGCTGCTCTGCTGCGGCGCAGTGAGGGTTTCTGGACAGACGTGTGCTGAACTAGTTTGAACTTGCAAAGCGTAATTTGCTTTTCAGTGAGTGTTGATGGTTCGGTTTGGTGGTTCTGCAGCTGGAGGGTTTGGTGCCCAATAGAGTTGGTGCGGTGTAAAGCCGATCTTGGTTAACAGCGATGTCGCAGGGCTTTCTGTGCTCCAGGGCAAGTCGGATTAAACATAGCTGTGGCAAATAGGAGTGGTGTATGTTGTTTCTCCAAGCTTTGCTTTGGTGCTGGCCCAACAACATGCATTTGTCTTCATAACTTCTTCCTGATGCGCGTGAGCCCGTTCAGCGGATAAAAGACACCGCGTGCTAATGAAATGTTGCTCGTACGGCTTGTGGGCCGGGCACGCGGGGGTCTTGGGTTCTTTGGATGAATCTTAAAAGGTTTTCTGTTAGGAGTGCAAAAGTACCGTAGGTGAGGCAGCAACGTAGTATGAGAGTGACCTGGCTTGGGAGGAAAGGACACCGGGTGGCTGGTCGGTCCGTTGTGATCCAGAGCTTCAGCTCTAAATTTGGGTAGCTGAAACCCAGACAGTTACCAGTGGAAACGACAGTCTAACCTTCTTTTCTCCTTTGGGCTAGCTGACCCCAACAGTGACCATGAGAAGACAGAGTTTGTGAATCTGGTGCTGCTCTTCTCGGAATTCACGCGGCATGACGTGTTCTCCCACGACGCGTACATGTGCACTTTAATATCGCGCGGGGACTTGTCAGTCACTGCAGCCGCCCGACCGCCATCGCCCAACGGGGAGACTGTGGACGAACACTATTCCAAGGATCACGATGTGAAACTGGAGGTAACACTTCGTGCTATTTCTCCCGTGTTTGGTACTCTGTTGTTAAACGTGGGATTTCACCAAAGCATTAGTATTTCATACATGAGATCCCAAGTCTTTTACCCTGTGTCTCCTTATCTCGCTTTGAGAAGACCTAAAGTGATCCATTCTTGCATATAGCTGTAAATAATGCCCTTTTGAGTAGAGCTGGACTGAACTGACGGTCCTCTGGTGATCTAAATAACCTGGGACAAACAAAACCACACAGTGTAGACATCTAAATGTACCAGTGGAAAAATGCATTTGCAGCTGTGCCTCAGTGAAGAGAAGGGCCAGCTTTAAGCAGGAGGAGCTGGTGGGGAGCCTGGAGTCAGCCCCCCATCCTGGTGTGGCGTGGGTGACCTGGTGGCCAGGAGCTTCCCGTGTGCTCCGTGCTGAGGTGCTGGAGTCAAACCTCACGACTGGCACGTGCACCGTCCGGGTGCCATCCGGAGTTACCCATCAGATGGCAGCTCGGCACCTTTCCTGAACTAGGGCAAGAGGAAGGCAGTTTTCAAGCCAAGGTGCAGCGACGTGTCTACTCGTGTGATGAGATGTAGCCTGTTCTGGTGCTGCACAGTCCGTGTGGATGGAGCCTGTGGCAGCTGAAGCATCCGCTCATGTTTCTTCTTAATTTCTTTTGGGTATCTCCTACGTTGGTGTCATGACCAAATTTGCCCTGAGGAATAAGGGTTTCTACAGGTTGGTTTTTGTGGTACAGCGAAGTAGGAAATAAATCTGGGGAAGGAATCCGAGTCAGATTCCTGTTCTGTAGGTGTCCCTGGGGCAGAACTGCTCACAGGGATATACTGGAAAGTGCTGTTTGCCACTTTGGCTTCTGCACTTTTCTATTTTTTGTGGATTTAGGCTTGAGAAACAGTACTTTTGTGAATTAAGGCTGATCGCAAAGATTTAAAAGTGAGTATCTGGAACCTTCTTACCATCAATACTTTATTCTTGATTCTCAGATAGGTGGAGTGCTTGGGTTTACCTGTGATCGCTTAAGTGAGGCTGCAATAAAATGTGACTGATACTTGTTTTTCTCTCTGGCAATTATTAGGATCATAGTATTATGGAACACATGGGCATTGACTCGGGGACTGCTAGTATTTTTGATGATGTAGACAAGAGTGACTTTAAGGCAGATTTTGGTTCGGAATTTCCAGTAGGTTTGCCTTTTGATTTTCTGCATGCCTTGGATGCCTGTCTGCTGCCTGCAGTTGCTGCTGAATGTCTGTGTGCCCCCAGCACCACCCTGCTTGTTCCATCAACAGCCCTGTCCGCTGGCACCTGGTCCCTGCCGTCTTCTGTGCCAGCGCATCGCCTGCTTTCTCCACATCCCTGACGCGTGACGTCTTCCCGCTCGGCCCCGCGTTGTCCACCCGCACACATGCGTGCACGCGCCGCTCCCTCCTGCCCTTCTTCCCCTGGCCCCCGGCACAGTCATATCACGGTTAAGCATGAATAAATACGCAGGTCTACCCGCTCCTTTGACATCAAGGAACCCCATGGGTGCCATCTGCTTTTCAAGTGGCTGTTTTGTGTTTTGGCTCTGTCTTCCAAATCTGTTTCCCGCTCTCTTTGCCCTACTGTTAGCCTGATCCTGCCTCGCGCTTGGGCCTCCTGCTTTCTTCCTTTGGGCCTGTCCTTGTTCTGCATCCGCATGGCTTCCTGGGCCCAGACCTATCAGTGCCAATCCACTTGCAGGGTATCGGGAGCCCTGTTTCTGCCTGGCATCTGCCACGCTGGTGGTTTCGAGCACACCGTGCCTGCCTACACTGTCACTTCCCACCTCCCACCTCACCCCTGTCGTTATTTCCCTCAGTTGCTGGAGCGTCTCGCTGTGGTGGCTGTGTCACAGCAGCTCAACAAGTATGGAGATTGCCCTGATTTCAGTGCTTTTTTCCTGACTGAACACTGCTGGCTTAAAACTCGTCTAATAACAGTGGGGATGTGCCCAGAGATGTAACGTGTGATGCATCTTACATTTCAGGCTTGATTGTCCTTGGCAAACTGCAGATGTTTACACTCTGAATGAGCTGCTGAAGTGTGAAAGCCAGAGGTTACACTTACCTTAACCGTTTGTTTTACATGACTTAGATTTTTTCTCCGATGCCTGGGGAGTCTTGTGAGAATGTGAACTCTTCTTTAGACAGAAGAATTTCAGTTACCAGCGAGAAGTCAGTCAAGAGGGACAGGCTGAGAGAACTGATTTTTCCATCCAATTATGACCTGCTCCGCCACTTGCAGTACGCAACGCATTTCCCTATTCCTCTGGTGAGTGCCCGCCGTGCCCGCGCGCGTACCGGGCTGTGACAGCGCGGCGTTTGGAGGAGGAGCAGCAGCTCCCTGAGGAGAGCTAGGCCGTGGGACCAGTGCCCGAGGGTTCCCGGCCGGTGTGACGCCGTGCTGTGTGCTGCGGGGGGGCTCAGTGCAGCACCGAGACGGGGTGAGCTGGAAGAGCACCAAAGAGGGACAAGAGTGGGCGATGGCTTACGGGGCTTAAGTACTTCAGCACCATAAACCCACCATGTTCCAGGGTCTAACAGAAGTTTGCCAAATAGAAAATTTGGTCCTGTAGCTTGAGAGACGGCCCAAAGCCAAAATGCCTGAACTGAACCGTTCTGAAATGCAAGGCCAGACCGGTGTTGCTCCTCCCACCCGCTCCTCGCCCTTGCTAGCGTGGGGTTTTGGCGGCTGCTGTTGTCATGTTTGCCCGTAGGCATGTGGGAACCCAAGGAAGCCCCATGAGTAACATTCCAGATCCCAGACCCTCATTCAGCCGACTTCACGTGCTTTCTGCGGTGCTGGACAACGCCCCAAATACTGAACAAGCCTCCAGCTGGAATGTGCCTACTCCAGCGGGGGGTTAACAGCAGTGACAGCTTTTTAACAGCGATAAGTCGTGTCAGGATAGGAAGAGTCACGTGAGAGTATGAGGCGATAACCAGACTTCTCTTTGCTTGAGGTTGCTAACTCCGCCACGTCTGGGTTCGGGTTCATTGCAGGCGCAGTGCTACATGGATGCCGAGTGAGCGGTTTCCGTTCAGGACAGTCTGGAATGCTTGCTTAAAGTTGGATTTATATTTTTCCTATTTTAAGGATTAGGGATAGAAAAAGCCTTGGTTTTGTTTCTGACATATTTTTGAGTTACAGACGGGGCTAATCCAGGTCGCTGGATTTTGCCTGTGCAACCTGAGTTGTAAAATTTAGATTATTGATGATTCTACCTGCACATTGTTTTGGGAAGTAGTAGTAAATCGCAGCATTGATAAACTTAGTTGCTGTTTCACAGATGCTTATAAAAACCCGAGCAAGGGGAGCACAGTGGGCACTTACACTTACTTTGTCATGGTTTTGTAACCTCCTTGACTGTTCCTAAGTAGCGCTGTTAGCTTTTTCCCACTCACTGCAGTGGTGGCAAGGAAAGGCACTGGAACTTGGCAAGAACAAGAGCTTTATTTAGAGAAACTGCAGGTGTCATGTGAGCAGATAGGATCATTTTTGATCAGTTTAGCTTACAATCACTTTCTGGAGTGAACAATGCCCTCTGAAATGCTTCTGGGGGAATTGTTTGGGAAAACCTAGCAGCTGCAGACCTGCTGTTAAACAATCTCTCCGGGTGATTGTGCCGAGCAGTCATTTCCTGTAGTGAGTGCACAATATTTAGTTCAGGAGAGGGGGGTTCGGGTGCTTGCCATAAATAATTAGAAGGTGTGTGGGAGTCTGTCTGAAGGTGTTGGCTGAAGTGCGGCTGATCCCGGGTCGGTCATCGCGGGTCGTGGAGCTGTTTCCGAAAGGCGCTGCCGTGGGTGCCGCTGGGTCTCGCCTGCCGCGGGACCCTGGGGCAGGGCGCTCAGTACGGTTGGAGTCTCCTCCTTCCGCTCG